CCTGAACTGTGAGCCGCCCTGAGTCCCCCCAGGGAAAAGGGCGGCATACAAATATTAATAAATAAATAAATAAAATAAAATAAAATAAGAAGCTTCTTCAGCTCTGACTGCATGGTGGGGAATGGAAGGATTGATGCTCCCTGCTGACAGCTCCTCCCCATCATCCAATCAAGGCCTAAGCTTGGGAAACACTATAAAAACTTGGCCAAGATTCTTCCTTTAATATTTCTCTAATCTTTCTATTTATTTTTTTTGATAATTTCTAATATTTTCTATTTTTCCTTAATGCTGTCTAATGTTTTTTTTGTTCTCATACTGATAGACTCTCATTGTGTTCCTTTTTATAGTTTCCTTTATTCTACTGTTTTACTTCCGTTTTTACACTCTTTTCATTTCTTCTTTCGCATTGCTCTAAGCCCCCTAGGGCAGCCCCACAGCCAGAGGGGAAACGTAGCCCATAAAAACAGCAAACAGGACTGGTCCTGCTCCGTGTGCATTTCGGTTCTGCTTCCTCCCGCAGTCCCTGGACCTGGCAGAGTACAGCATCCTTTTCATGCTCAGCTTTACCACTCCGGCCTTCGACTCGGAGGCGCCCCCCTCTTTTGGGACCCTGCTGGCCACCATCAATGTGGCCCTGAACATGTTGGGGGAGGTAAGAGTTTCAGAAGGGCTAACCTTATACTGCAGTGGTGAGGCCACAATTGGGGTGTCACAGAGAAGAGGGGGGGGGGGTCAACCTCTTCTCCAAAGCACCTGAGGACAAGAAGTAAGGGGTGGAAATTTATCACGGAGAGCTGCAACCTAGAACTAAGGAGAGATTTCCTGACTGTGAGGACAGTTAATCCGGGGAACAGCTTGCCTACAGATGTTGTAAGTCATCCATCCCTGGAGGTTTTGAAGAAGAGAATGGACAGCCACTTGTCTGGAATGTATAAGGCAGTGTTTCTCAACCTTGGCCACTTGAAGATGTCCGGACTTCAACTCCCAGAATTCCCCAGCCAGCATTCGCTGGCTGGGGATTTCTGGGAATTGAAGTCCGGACATCTTCAAGTGGCCAAGGTTGAGAAACACTGCCTTATACATTCCAGACAAGTGGCTGTCCATTCTCTTCTTCAAAACCTCCAGGGATGGATGACTTACAACATCTGTAGGCAAGCTGTTCCCCGGATTAACTGTCCTCACAGTCAGGAAATCTCTCCT